GAGTGGCTGGTGGGTTTGAAAACCCACCAGCCTTCTGGTTAGCAGTCAAATGCCTCAGGCACTATGCTACCAGAGCGCCTAAATGGTGGACTTTAACTTTGGAATAATATAAAATAAAGTTATTGAGAAGGAGGGGTATTTTTTTAGAGTATTTTCGCTTTTATTGAAGACTGTAAGCATATAATTCATACAGTCAAGTAGTGTTAAACAACTTATTAAAAAAAATACCGAACTGTCCTCTGTTTAACAGTCCTCCTCCATTTCTCCAGAAGCAATCTTTTTTTCATCTTGAAATTTTAAAAATTAATTAATTTTATTGTTGTTATTGAGAATATATTTTGAAGGCATGAATGGATTAAAACCAAAAAAACCCTATCCACCAACCTCAAACATCTGAAGTCCTTGGGGTGTCTCTATAGGAAAATCTTCTAGCGCACTCATGAACTTTTCTGGGATATCAGGGAACTTCTGGGGATCCTGAAACAGAGGTTATTTTGCATTTAATTTTACAGTCTGAGTAGCTAGGTTGTGAAAACACAGGTGGAAGAGAGGTTATCCCATTTATATTCCCAGATCTCAGACACTTATTCTGTTGGGAAAAAGTTCAGGCTTTCTAGTTCCTTAATCCAGGATGAGTAGTTTGAAGAGTATCTATGAAAAGTGAATGTCATTTCCAGGCAATTAAGACTTCCCTTCATGATAAGGTCTCCTTTTGAATGAGTAGAAATATCTATATCTATATATCAAACTGCTGTCATTGAGTCAGACTCATGGCAACCCCAAATGTTACAGAGTTACAGAGTAGAACTGTTCCATAGGATTTTCTTGGCTGTAATCTTTTTGTTTTTTCTTTTTAAATTTTTATTGTAATTTGGGTGAAAGTTTACAGAGCAAATTCATTTTCCATACAGTAGTTCACACACATTTTGTTTCATGACGTTGACTGTAATCCCCACGATGTAACAGCTCTCTTCCCACTTCTCTGCAGTTACCTCTTCCCTGTGTCCTTCTTTCCTATGCATTCCTGCCCCCTGAGCTGTCTCCCTGTGCAAATACTATCCTGTTCTCCCATGATTGATCGTTCTAAGGAGTGTATCTACCTGGTGTAAATGTTCATCCTATACGTCTGCCTATTATTGCCTGGAAGCCACAGGAATGAATTCAATTCCAGACCTGAAGCATAATGAGGGCCATAATCTTGGGGGTTTCTTCAGGCTCTATCAGACCAGTAAGCCTGTTTATTTTTTATTTTTATTTTTTTATAATTTTGAGCTCTTTTCCACATTGTTCTCCCACTTTATCCAGGATCTCTTGCATTGATCCCTTTCTGAGTGGCTGACAGTGGTAGCTAGGCACCCTCTAGTTCTTCTGGTCTCATGATCATATAGGCTGAGTTTGCATGGTCCACTAGTCCCTCAGACTAATTGTTCCCATGCATCTTTGCTTTTCTTCATTATTCTTTGCTCTGGATGAAGAGGGACCAATTATTGTTGTATCTAGATGGCTGCTTTCAAGCTTTTAAGATCCCAGTCACTACTCACCAAACTAGGATGTAGAACAATGTTTTTGTGTAGTATGTTATCTTGCCTGTAATCTTGATAGCAGATCACCAGGCCTTTCTTTCATGGCACTAGAAACTATTAGTGTTGCCCAGAGATTTTGAGTGGAAATATATACACCTGGAAATGTGATGTTGTGCTTTTGAATCAGGCCAGTCACTTTGCTTACTGTGGGCTTTTCACTACAGTATGTCACTCTGATTGTGCATTTGTCACACTGATTATGCTGCTGTTGTTAGTTGTCACCCAGTTGACTCTGACTCATGGTGACCCCGTGTGCTCAGAGTAGAACTGCTCCTCAGAGTTCTCAAGGCTGTGGCCTTTGCCAGGCCTATTTTGCAAGGTCCCTTTGCGCAGGCTCAAACCGCCAATCTTTCTGTTAGTAGTGGAGCCCTTAACCCTTTGGACTACACACGGTCATCACACAGATTATAGGCAAATGGAATAACAAGATTGTTCACTTCTTAGCCCAGGAGTGAAAGAGAAGAGAAGGGGGAAAGAAAGAGAGGAACAAAGAAGGGCCAGGAAGAAGCTGGAGGTTGGAAAGCACCACAGTGAATACCCCATTCCAGATACCCTTCTTGTTGTTGTTGTTAGGAGCTGTTGAGTCGATTCGACTCATAGTAACTTCATGTGACAGAGTAAACTGCCTCACAAGGTTTTCTAGGTATAATCTTTATGAGAGCAGATTCCCTGCTGGGCAGGCTCCAACCATTAGCTTGTTGGATAGCAACTGGGCACTTAGCCCTTTGCACCACCAGATAGCCTTGGTGTACGATCAAAACTAGGCTGAGAGAGTTGTTCACAGACAGACTCACATTCAGAATGTCAAGGTACTCAGAGACCTAGGGAAATCACTTACGATTTTATTCAGTCCTTGCTGTACTTTGAGGTAGAATTTGAAGAGTAAGCTGAGGATGAGGGTTTGCTTATTATATATGCCGAGTTGAAGACATACAACCCACAGTCCCTAACCCTTATACGCTGCTCAGCAATCTTCCCCCAGATCATGTGTGGTATACTACCCTGGATTTGAAGGATGCTTTCTTCAGCCTGCCCCTAGCCCCGCAGAGCCAAGACATTTTTGCCTTCGAATGGGTTAACGAAACGGATAAAATCCTCGGCCAGCTGACCTGGACAAGATTGGTCCAAGGGTTCAGGCACTCTCCCACTTTATTCAACGAAGCTTTGAGTAATGACTTGTGTGAGTACAGGGGTCAAAACCCACAAATTACTTTACTACAATATGTAGACAATTTGTTGATCACAGCCCCCGATCGAGCAAGTTGTATCCAAGCAACCAGGGAACTGCTCACCACTCTGGGGGAGCTGGGATATTGAGCTAGTGCCAAGAAAGCTCAAATAGCTAAGCCAGAAGTCATATATTTGGGGTATAAGTTAAGAGCTGGGCAGAGGT